TCTGGAGGGCTTTTCTTTTCCCGGACCCTAAATTGGTGTCGATTTGGCGGCTGCTCTGTTGAAGAGCAAGAACGGAAGGACTGGAGTGGTGACGCGGGAGTTACATGGGAAGAAGTGTTCTTTGGAGCTACACAGGCCGACTTTTGATATCTCGGTAGAAAGTTTAAGATTACAGGATGTTATACGCTTCTATAATTTCGAAAGGAGCAAAAAAGATATAAGTGAGGTGTAGTTGATAATTGATTTAGAGACACTAGGTCACTGATGAACTTCCTTAATTTGTAATTTTGTCACGTTTCCACGTCTATTTTACTTTGTCGAGGCTATAAACATTTTCATTTTACGCGTAATTGAAATGAACAATCTCAACTTTACGATATAATGTGAAATAGGAGGCGTTTAAACCTATCACAATCCGTTTCTCAGATATTCATTGTGCTGTTTGAGAAGGTAGAGCGCTCAACCATTCTCTCAGCGTTCATTGGCTGGTGAAATTCCTGAGCTCCAAAAATTTGATGTTTTTTTTGGTTCAGATGAGAAAGTGCTATCTTGCAGTTATGGTTATATCCATGGTTATTTCGGGATATGTTTCTACCAGAAGTTATTTTTTTCTTCAAATTAGTACGAAATAATAGTACTAAATTACATCACCACCACCACCGTCACTGTCATCACCATCATCATGATCATCATCATGGTTTTTAATGTACCATTATGAACCATACAGACGTGTATTAGCAACGCAGTTTGGCAACAAAATGCGAAATCACAGCACGTACTTACTTTCCCCAGCTTTAAGGATGGAATTGTAAAAGGTTCAGCTATTTCGTTTGACCCATATCCACCTGAAAGGGAACAGGCCTTCCTAATGTAGGGTCTCTGCGCGTGCTTTCCTGGTTTTCGTTTGCTCAGTGCGTTTCAGTTTTGTAATGAACGTGTGTGTTTAGAGGAAGAGAGGGGCCCACCCAATGTCTTGTGTGGAAGAGACCCGGCCTCGCAGCGCCCGCTTCTCCATCGGAGGCCCATTCACGAGCGAGCGCTTTCCCGCCTCTTGTTTGGGGCTCGGCGGCCAGTGTTTATCGTTCAAATTGCTGCTCGGGGAAAGAGAGCGTCCCTCCAACCACACTTCCCTTCTTTCTTCTCGCACTCCCTCCTCGCCCTCCTCCTCGCCCTCTTCTCCTACCTCTTTGCCCTCCTCCACGCCATTTTCATCGACCTTCTCCGCGCCTTCGTCCTCTCCCTCCTCCTAGCCTTCTTTCCCGCCCTCCTCTTCATCCTTCTTGTCAATGCCCTCCTTCTCTTTCCCCACCTCCTCGTTATCTTCCTCCCCCATTTTACATATAATCATTGTTCCAATTTCCCATTTTAATAATATTATTCTCTTGTATGCTGATATTCGTTTCTCATTTCTTTCTCACTTTTAGTTTCTGTTTTACTTCCCTCTAGGCGCACTCAGCTTTGCATTCTTACTATTTTTTCACGCACCATTCAATTAATACGCTTCATTTTTGCCCCATATCTAATCACTCAATTCTTCCAACATTTTGTTGACTCATGAATTTTATATTAGTACATACTTGTTTCAGAATTATTCAATTTATACTTATTATATTCCTTATTTTTCCCTAATTGTTTCACGTAATTCATTTTCGTTCCTTTGCCTCTTAATTTCTTCTTCTTTCTCCACCGATAATCTGAGAGAGCGCAATTATTCTCTTCCTTTTCCCCGCGTTTGTCTTCGAGCTCATCTACCTCCCCCCCCCGCCATATTCGCTCCCCCACGCGCCGCCCCTCCCCACGTCCGCATCCGGCGGCGGGAGGGTCGGCGCCCGGCTGCAGCGCTCGCCCTTGCCCGCCGCCTTTTGAGCGGACACACGGCGCGGGGTGGGGCGGAGCGGAGCAGGGCGGAGCGACGTGGTCCATCGCTCAGCGAGGGAGCTGCCGCCCACCCCGAGGTCGACCGGCCCGCGCGCTTCCCACGGCGCGGCGCGGGGCGAAAAACGAACGAAATGCAACGCGCCCTTCCGGGACCCGGCCCGCTCGACGCCGCGTGCGTAGGTCAAGAAACGGCGCCGCCTGCTTTTCGCTCGGCCCGAAAAGTGAAAGAAAACCGTGGGCTCCGCCTCCTTCGCCGCTCCCCCTCCGCAATGCACCGTAATGCATATTATTTTATCGGAGAGGTGGCGGTGATGACGAGATTCGGCGCCCGCTGGGTGGCGAGATTTGGCGCCGACCTAGGTCGGCTTGCGGGCATTTTCCTCATCCAGGTATCTCCCACAAGAGAGGCACCGCTGCAGCTGGGACAAGATCTAAGCTTCCGACTGGTCGCCGGACAGGTGTGATAGTATAGTATATGTGAGTGTGTATATAAGGGGTGAGGAAAGGATAAGGAAGAGGAAGGGGAGATACGAGCGGTTCGTGGCCCTCTTAGTAGGGTACTGCAACGGCATTTGTCTGATATTGTTCGGATAAACCACGGAAATCTACTGGTCAGAGCGGCCGTCCGCTAGAATTGTTTCTCCAGGTTGTAGCTGAATTCGACTCAGCTGTCCTAGTGTCCAAAATCCCACCACCGTCGGGAAAAACTGCAAGTGATATCAGTTGATGTCTATCAGTTGATGAGTCACCCCTTTGCCAACATTGTATTTCCACTCATGTTCGTTTTTGAGTTAATGTCATTTTTGGAGAACTCTCGTTCATATATACCTTGTTTACAGAGATTGTATATCCATATAAAAGGGATCCTCCTTTGTTCCAGAAAGCAAACATTATCGCTTTCTATTTCTAATTCTCAAGCTTGGGTTGAAGAAGCTCGGGTTTCAAACACTAAGGATTTTCATTTAGAAAACATTTGGAACTTTCGTAATACCAAATTTGCGAATCTTTTGCTTTAATGAGAGGAACAGTGCTCGCCCAAGTCTGCCATCAGTAGGTCATTTTTTAACTGATTTTATGGTTAAACAGTTACACTTTAATTAAATTCCTAAAAATTTAATTACGGTAAAAACTTGTTCAATGCCAGAAACATTGTATAATACGAAACTCTGTCTAAATTGTGAAACAAATCGCTGTCCTAACAAACATTAAATTTTTACAATATTGCTTGCATAACGCGTATCTTGTCTAAAAAACGGAAAAAATACTCATCCCTCTGAGTGTTCCGCATTTGGGAAAGTTTTACTGTAGAATGAACGCTTATCTGGCGTCATTCTTCCATCACGTCGTATATCGTTATGTTTTATCACGTATTTTCAAGAAGATCTTTATCTCATGCGAGGGCAAGCGTGTGTTGATTACAGTTAAAAAAGCGAAAATGCGAAAGTTTTTATTTCGAAATAGTGAAATGTTTTAAAGCAAATTTTATTGAGTGTAGATAAAAATGCAAAGTCAGAAAACGTTGGAAAACTTGACGGAACCAAATCAGATATTATAATATAAATGATGTATTACGTTTTTAAATTAAGGTGAATAAGCAGTTTTTCTTTTAGGAGACCATTACAATTCATTTATTACAGATCTGGTTAAGGCGGATTAGAAGTTAAGGTAGATAAGAAGGTGGAGATCGGTAATCCGAACATGTTGCTCCACAGAACTCTGTGCCACAGTGAATAGTGGATTCTAATGGTTTGATGATGGTACGTTCATGATTCTATGGCGTTTCATGATTCTATGGTTGCATGGTCTCTGGTTCATGTTCCATGGTAGTGCTTGACCGTCGCTAACTTTTCTACAGCTCATATTTTTTGTGATATATAATCTCATGGGTTCCCGGTAATTTAATGTACGAAGCAAACGCGTATTTCGTTTTTGTTTTTTGTTGGGCGAGCAATTCAGCATACTCTAGGCCGTGCTGTTAAGCATTATTTAATTCGGCGTCTCGCTCCTCAGCGGGACTTGCACGTGCTGATTCGCCGACCTCGGCAGCCATCCGACGGGCGGGCTATCGGCCTGCTCTCGAGAGCTGAGAGGGAAGCGTTCAAGGTTGGCGCGTGAGCTGGGCCAGGGGCGGCGCGGGAGAGCGCCATAACAACGGCCGCCGGCGAGGAGAGTTGCAGGGGCGGGCCCGCCGCGGGCTGGTTTGCGAGTTGAATAGCGTGGGCGTGGATGGAGACGAGGCGTGGCGGCGGGGCGCGAGGGGGAGCCGCGCGAAGAAGTCGGAGACCCACGGCCTAGGCGGTCTGGGCGACGCCGCACGGCGCGCGCGGCATCGGTGCGTTCGGCGCTCGACGGCAGATTCCGTCGGACAGTCAGAAATCGATCTCTGTCGCGTCGGCAGAGCTGCGTGAACGAAGTTACTGGCGCGAAAAACTGCTGCAGCCACGCCCACGGGCTAATAATCATAATGAACAAGGAGGTCCCTCGTCTCGCAGCCGCTCTGCCCCCACCGTGGCCTTCATCTCTCAACCGCCCGAGGTTTTCCATTACCACTGCCCTCTTGGCAGCCGTCTCTTGAAGGGATGTTTGGGGCGTCTTGCCTTGTTCTATCCCGATCTGGCTCTGGCCACGGTTTCATCTTCTCAACGCACTCCCTTAATCTAAGTTTATTTACTGGGCTAATATCTAATACATTATATGTCACAAAGATACGCCCGGCTAATCTTCTTGGTTTTTCTTCTTTGACATTATTTATCGTTTATCAGCGTCTTATGGGTTCGCTTACCGTTTCTTTCCTTATTCATTCATTTCACTGCGAGTTCTGTATCATGAAGTATGCCTAAATCTCTCTCCTCTCTCTCCTCTCTCTCTCTCTCTCTTCTCTCTCTCTCTCTCTCGGCTCTCCGATTACTTTTCTTGTATATTCGTTAATTTTACCTTCTCTGACTTTCCATTTCTGCTTCCTTATACAGTTTCTTCTTTTACACTTACTTCCTCTCTCCAGATACTATCCGTTTCCACTACACATATTCCCTGCACGCCCACCGGGCGACCCTGAACTCGAAACACCGCAGTCGCTCCTCATTCGCTCTCCCTTCATCTGAGCCAACACCTCCCCGCGCCCGCATTAATCACCGGTTAAGGAAAATTTAGGGAAAGAAACGACGGGCGCGGCGCCCTGCGGCCGCGAGGAGTGGGGCAATATTTTCCCTTCGCGGCGCCGCCTCCTACTCCCCCCGCCCCCGCTGCCGCCCCACCTCCACCAAACGCATCCACTCCGCTTCCTCTCCCGCTCACTCCCCCACTCCGCTACTCTGCCTATCCACTCGCCCTTCCCCTTCCCTTCCCTTTCCTTGCTGCCCCTAACATCTCCACCCGCTTCCCTACCCACTGACCTCCTCACCTCTCTCGCTCGCGCTTACCCTTCCTCTTCCGCTGTCACCATATTACCACTCACCCTCCTGCGCCCCCTCCCCCTCCCCCACCCACTCTCCCTCACCACCACCCGCACCCGCTTCCACTTCCCACTATCCCCTCCCACTCCCGCTTACCCTCCCGCCTCACCCTCCGCACTCCTCTCGCTTTCCCCCTCCCCACTATCCCCACAATTCCCACCCCTCGCCCCACTCCCCTCTTGCTATCCGCCTCGCGCTTACCCTTCCGCTCCCGTTCACCGACCCACTCACCCTCCTGTGCCTCCTCTCCCTCCCACGCACCGCGCCCCCCCACTACCGCACCCCAGCCCACTCCCCCTCCCTCCCACTCTCCTCTCGCTCCCCTGCATCCTCCTCCTCCCGCCCCCCTTCCGTCCTCGCTTCGCCCCAGCTCCGTCCCCGACCCCCACTCGTCCGCGATGCCTTCCCCGACATGATCTCTTTCAGCCTTGCTATCCCCTTTGCGCTGCCTGCTGTCCATCGCCGTCACCGCCATTGACGCCATCATTGCCACCGTCCTCACCTCTGGTCCCGCCCATGAGGCCTCTCCAAACCACTCCCTGCAGCAATCACCTTCACCGAGCACACCACCGCAACCACCACCGGAAATATAATGTTAATGTTTAGTAAATTAATTGAACAGTTCTTCTTTTTTTAGTTCTATACTTCGTTTTCATACTTCCTTTTTGATCTATTGAAAAAAGGTCTTTACCGGAGCTTTTTTACGTTCTTTACGCCGACATTTGACGTGCTCTTGTTATTTGTGCCCGGAAGCAGACACTTCCGCGTACGCGAGCAAATTAACAAGTGGAAGCGCGGGACGATTCAAAGCAGAAGGGAGCGTTTGAAGTCGCGAATTCTACTGTGAACAGCGGAAGAACGAGAGACATTCTTATGCATAAATTGCCTGTGGGGGAGAAGACCCGTTTCGATCTGTGCATTGCAGTTACAAACAGCTTTCAAAGCCCAAGGAAATGATTGGAGGATTACTATTTTTAATGAAATAAATTGAAAAAAGAAGTATAGAAATGTACTTTCTTGTAAATGTTTGGAATGAAACCTTATGTCAATTGATAATAACATCAAAATATTTTTGGTAACCTAATTATAGAGTAGTTCTACATTAATGGGTTCTGAGGTTGTACATGATACTTTACACTAAAGTAAGTGGAACTACGTGCACTGGGGACCATCAATAGATCATAATTTTAGTATATACTAAATTTGTTTTAAACTTCTAATTCTTGCAAGTTTTTTCCATTATTTTTCTTATAATGGAATGTTAATAGCTGGACGTAGTAAGTAGTGTATGGTACAAAAGCGACGTAAGATAGAAAGATAAAGTAATAACGAGTCACAAGAGATAGTTTTCAGTGTATAAAAAATCAAATTCCGTAATTAAAGTTGATTTTCTACACATTTTTTAGTCTATATGGTTCAACAGTTCAACAGTTGTGGAGTCTTTGAATTCTGTTAGTTATGCTTTTATTTATGGCAATTTTCGCATTATTGTACGTAATAACGCAATTTTTCTTTTTTCTCGGTTAACACCTGTTTATTTTGGCGTCTGTTGCCTAAATCTCTTTTAACTTAAAATTGTGTCGTATTCATCTCTTACAACTGCGATAGAATTTGAGGTTTTTCTTTTGTCAATTGTTAAGAGCAAAACATAATACTTGTTGTTCTCATCAAAGACATACTCTCCCCCAAAACACAAGTTCTAAAATTCTTACAGAATATTCTAGAAGAAACATTGTGTCAATCGATTCTTCCTTTCGAGAGTGATTGAATAAGCTATTGATGTCCTTATAAAAATCCTTCTAAGCTCTTTTAGCTGCTTAGTTCTTGCCAAAAAACAAGCAAGAAAACAAACATTTATTCGGGAATTATCGTAGAAAGTTGTGGAAAGACTTGAAGAAATTCCCCCTCGCCCTCCTTCAAGTATACCGAGGAATTGAAGTTGCTCTGATAGAGGCTGTGTTGTGCTGCTAGTTGATTGATAGATGGGTGATTCCGGGCGCGTCAACTACTAAGGTCATTCGTTTGTCCCGTAAATGTAGAGCATGTTTTTATCGCGGGAGGTGACGGTGATCTTCCCCCGCTGATTGGCAAGATCCGGCGCCGACCTACGTCGGAGATTTTCTACCTTGCGGGAAGATCTACCATGCGGAGATTTTCCCCAACCAGTTGTCTCCCACCAGAGCGGCACCATCCCAGCCGAACAAGCTCTAATCTCCCGACAAATCTCACGATGTGGTGGTAGACATGTGTGGTAGTGTAGTGCATGTGAGTGTGTGTGTACGTAAGGAGGAGGAAAGGACAAGGAAGAGGACGGAACTATAGTGCGCGGTAGGCGCCCTATTTCATAGGGTCCTGCTCCGGCATTCGCCTGGTGTCGATCGTAGAAACCACGAAAAACTACTAATTACAGCAGCCGGCCGCAAAACCTCTTCTCCAGACAGCGGCAATACTCGACCTAGTTGACGAGCTAGTGTCTAAAATCCTGCCACGGTGGGGAGAGGAAACCTAGGATCTCCCGCAAAAAGTCATCTCCAGACAGCGGCATACTCAACCTAGTTGACGAGCCAGTGTCTAAAATCCTGCCACCGTGGGGAGAGAAACACCTAGCGTTCTCACAGACCAGGCCACTGCAGTGACAATCAGTTGGAGAGCACATTGGCCGGTTTTGTGCATGCCGGAAGCTGCAGCGTGCGAAGGTGGTTGCGGGCAGAGGCGGCGGCGGCGGCTGCCGCAGGCGCAGCGGCAGAGAAGCGGGAGCTGCGTCGCCATCTTTGGACCGTGGCGCGCCGGGCAGGCGGCGGCGGTGGCGCAGGCGGGGCGGCGGTCTGAGAAGAAGGCGGAGGAAAGTGAATTCTCTTTATACGGCGGGCCCTCCGCAGTTCAAGTGTGCCCGCCCGCCGGCCCGCCCGCCTGCGGGGCATCGTCGTGACGGGCGCATTGGGCGGGCTGGCGGGCGGGCGCGTTTCTCTCGGTCGCCGACGCCCCCGCCCCCGCCTTCTCCGCTCACGCATCGCTGGCGCTGCCTCTGCCCCGGTTGGCGCCTCGTTTACTAACGGCGATGTCATCCTGCTAACTGGCTGTGGCGATTGCTGTTACTGGTACAGAAGAAGGTCTATTTATTGGCGCTGTTGATAGTGTCTACATGCGTACTTGCGGGTACAAGAAATCTTCAGGTGGAAAGGAATGTTATCAACCGGTGCAAATGTTGCATCATTGTTTTTGGTATAATTTTTTTTACAAACTGAAGAGGTTTACATTTATATTTGTGTATCTTTACAATGTTTTTGTCATCTCTTTGAGACATTAAGACAATTGTAATAAATGTAATAAATGCAACAACCTAAATATTATTATCTTTCTTCAGAATATTACTGTCTTTGATTGTCATAAATATTTGATTTTTCAACGTTTCACATACCTAAACATGTGCTTTCTTTTAACCGAAATTAGTTTAAAAAAAATTACAGAAAGTAGGAGTTAGACGTTACCATTCCTTATTATTCGCGCTGCACCTTCAAGCTCGAACTTATTTCCTTCATTTTTACCACATAGAAACAAAGAATCTCACATATTATATGAAAAACCCACTCCCCGGAATAATTCGTGCGTTTCGGAAGTAGCAAAATTTTATCCGAAATTTCTCATCAGATTTTTCGAGCTTGAATGATCATATCTGTTCTATTTGAACTTCTCTGGTTATTCATACTCTGCAACAGCCACCAGGGTCACATCACCAAGACAACAAACGCTACTTTTCCGCTGCTCCGAAGTCGCAGTATCCCAAGTCACGCCGCCTCCGCCAAGGCAGGTGTTGCCGGAGACTAAGGCGAGGGAGCAGAATTACTCTGATGACTGTGCTCTTTAACCACAGCAGAACCAAGATAAAAATGTCATCTCAATGGCGCCAAATCTGGGATTTATGTTCCTATACCGAGCTCTTCACGCACACGCACAACTAATATTGAAAATTAGTAAGAGGTAAATATCTAGAGCTGTGTTCATCCTCCGTATGATGTGGAAATGAAAAATTGATTTAGAATGACAAGCACACAAATATACACGTCCAGGAGGACTTGCGAATTCATTTCACTTCCCTTCGGACTTGGATTCTTCGGCCTTAACGTCATCGAGTATCCACGCCGGCCTTAACGTACAGTGCTGATTTCTAATGCGTGCAGAAATTGAAAGATAACTATACATCCTCCGATCATGTGAGAGTTGTCAAAGTTATATTACCAGGAACTCGATGAAAAACCCAAAAACAATGAAACAGTTTCTATTTTGACTGCAAAATTTATTATGTTATTTTCACTATTCTCTTAAAATGCATACCGACTGAATTCGCATACTCAGTGCGTCACTGTTTACGACAAAACGGACAAAATGGAACTTCCAGATTCCAAGGAAAAGCTGACTGACATTAAATATTTGCTATGTACGTTTTGCGTTATTTAACATCATTTTTGATACTCTGGGAATGTAGTACTGATATACACAATTCTTTTATTGCAGTAATAGTGAAAACTATGTTTTAAAATATTTAAGTTGTTGTATTCAGCATGTAAAACAAATAAAATACTCTCCCAATGTTTTATTTGCTATGTATACTACTTTTTAAAATACATTTTCTGTGGTTTTATACAGCAGCTTTTTTGCTGCTGCATGGTACTAGTATATTATTGTCACAATGATTTGATACATTTAAGCGAACTTTTGTTACGACCTAATATTACCTGATGGCGGTATGTAATTCTCCCAAAAACCATAAATATATATTTTTTATTATTGAAGTTGCCTTATTGATTATTTCGCATGAAATGCAGCTCAACATAAATTTTGAAGGAAAGTGTGAGGAGTTTAATATCGTTTGATTCGCTAGAGGTTCTGCAATTATCGCGATGAAACATGACAATTGTTATCAACGTCTTTTGAAATGTGTATTTAAAATTTTGGCAAATACACAGATCTCCATGAATTCGGGTTAAGAAAATAAACTATTACAGTTCGGTTTCCTTAATAAACACAACCTCGTATTACATTTTTTTGTGTGTTCGTACATGATGGAAGATACTGTGTTAAACGATTCAAATTGTGGAGAAATTCTTAGTAAGAATATATGGAATTAAACACCATAAGGAATTCTAAAATTGTTGAGTTATGTTAAAAATACGAAGAGTTGCGAGTGTACTCTTTGATTTTCAAATGTTCAACACAAACTGATTGAATTAAAACAACGAGGGATTGAAAAGATCGCAGGAGGTAGAATCAGCTGTATCTTTGAGTGGATCCATCCGTTTTATGAATATTACGTGAAGTCTATTTAGAGAGATGTTAGAACTTTGACTTGATGTCTTCTTTTCTGTTATAAACTGATTGGAAATGTTGTTTGTTTATTTTATTATTAAATTGTAGAACTAATGTAAGGCTTCCTTATAAGGTATAAAAATTAAGCTCCATTCTGAGTTTCGTTCAAAGCTGCATTCCAATTTCTCACGACGTTGGGGATCAGCTTGTTTCTTCTTGCCGACCCCTGCTTTAATGAATCGTGCGTTCTTCTCGAAGTTCCGAAATTACTACACGCACTGACCTGAAGCTGATACTTTCTCCGGTTGCGAGCGAGAAGCTAATGCGAAAGCCCGATGGAACGTGGCTTTTGGGCGGGTAAAACTTTCGTGGCACGCATATCCGAAACTTTTTTATGGTAATTCCATTTTGACTTGATTCTGTACCAGGAAACTGCTTCGGTTCGCTACGCATTCAGATAATACGTAGAGGAACCAGGAGGAGTGGCAAAGATCCTCAATGACACCTTTTCAACGTGCAAAGGGACTGGATGAATAGTTAATAGGAATAGCTCAGAGCAATGGAGGTGGTATGTTCAAGAGAAATCGGAACTGAACACGCATCAATTCTCGGTCAGAAAACACGCATAACTAGAATAATTAGGTTAAGAAATTGAATTTCATCTCTTTGTTAGAAAGCGCTGTCATTAATTGGAGATCATTTACTACCAAACGAAGATCTGAAATTCTTTAATGTTCTAAATGGCATACAAAACATGAATTTCGTAAGTACTTAAAAATACATATTGAGTTAGTTTAAATGGAAACGAAATTTGGTAAAATGTTTTTGGTTTTCTTTTGTAAACAAAATTGAGATTTAATGAACTAAATCCAGGTATTTATTTGAGTAATGTTGAAACCTTAAGTAGATTAGAGTATCATAATTAAGATTAGAGAAGAAAAAAATATTTTCTTGGCAGTAGAGAAAGTAGGTGAAAATCAAACATATACAAGACCATGTTTAATGGATGGACGATGAAAGACACATTTCCCAAAATATTCAATTGTGAGCCAAGGGAAAAATATCCCGGAAAGCCTTAGAAAAGATGGTTGTTTTGATGAAGATTAAATATCAACTGCCTAGCCTTGAGGCGAAGATAATCAGCACCAAGTGTAATCCCTAGAAAAATTTCGATTTTTTGTAAAGTTTAACAGTCCTGAACGGACGCTGTGGGTGATGTGAACGTTGAGAGAGGCGTGCGTGTAAGAATGTTGCGATTCTGCAATCGACATATATCGAGCCGATACTGACAACAAATTTGATTACGTCGATTATAGTTTATAATATTAAGTAACAATACACCTAATATCGAATGACAGTAATCCACGATTTCAAATAAGGAAATGATATTTTACTTCGTATATAATCTCATTAAACTATTTTAAATAAATATTTACTGTTATAATTCATTGACTCATTTATTGACTCCTTCATTTATTCTTTCAACATAATTATTTTTACACATCCTATATTATTCATTGAAAGTAGTAGAAAGTAATTGTTCTTTTCTTTGTGACTAGTTTCTCAGTTCTAGAGAAGTTACAGAAAATGTGCAATGAAATCACAAGAAATACTCGTAAATGTAAAGAAATAAAGTAAAATCATTACTCATTGTATTTTCCAGAATTAGTGTGCCAATAATCTATTTTTATCAGTCTTAATTTGCCTACCGATACGATCCTATAGAATCCACATTATTGATAGCGATTTGATACAATAGATACAACAATATTGGTACCTAGTCGATACTATTGATTCCATAAATTGGTATCGATACGAACCAATTGACTCAACAATAATAATACTGATAGGAGACTATCCATTCAACAATATTGATACCGATGTTACTATCGATTTAAGAACATTGATTCCCATAGTAGGAATATCGAAAATATTGTCTCTATGAATATATGGCGATGGTAACAGGAGAGCGTTGGGGGCTTCTCGGCGTGGGCAGACGGAGGGGGATCTGGAGGCGGCGTCGGGTGAGATAGGAGAGAGGGGTGGCCGTGGGGGGGGGCAGAAGCAAGGGCAGGCGCAGGGCGATGTCCCCATGGGAGCGAAGGGCGCGGCGCGGCGCGGCGCGGCGTGGCGTGCCGCATCTATTGCCAGCCCTCAAGAGGCCTCCCGGGGAACACTGCCCTATGAGACGCGTGGGCGTGCCCGCCCCGGCCCGCCCTGTCCTGCCCTGCCCTTCCGTGGGCCGTGTTGGCACAGCGCATGATGTTGACGCCCTCTCTCCGCCCCGAACGCCCCGTTTCCCGCCCGCGCCGCCTCTCGGGCGGAGCGTCTTTGTGAAAGACTAGTCAACAGAGGCGAAGGAAATTGCAACTGGAGAGGTCTCCAAATCCGA